ACTTGGTTCCAAAAGGCTGTATAATGTGTGGGAAGAAACCAAATACAGGAAAGTTACTCCCAATTAACACCTCTAATCTCCAGATGTCCTAATAAAAATAGTGTGTAGCCAACGGCCACCCTTGAGCTGGATACTTGGACTGAATGTTTTCAAGAGCCAAGCCAAGCAATCAATTGCTTCTCAACCTGATCACCTGGCCTGGGACACATAAATGTTTTACTACGTCCTGGCTTAGGGAAGAAAGTAAACAGAGGTGAACAGATCCTGTAATAGCATGCCTTCCCCAGCCCACTCATCGCAAGGGGAGGTCTGAGATTCTCCTGCCTCCTAGGTGGAGCAGTGTGTAGAATTTATGAACTTCTTTGGAGTAAGATGTGAATCTGGGGCCTGAGCCAGGCATTATCATTGGCAAAATGTGGACCATTTCCTTCCCTTTCCATCCTTTTCCTATTGCTGATTGTACTGTTTTGAAATGAATTGGGATTTAACCACTTCTGTTATTGTAGGTGTTACAAAATGTTGGTTGCAATGAAGTAAAAAAAAAAAATTAAGATGTGAAGACTGGAAGGAAAGATTGGTGTTGGAAGGGATGGGGGAGAATGATGAACAAAATGCATTATAAACTGACATGTTGCATAGGAACCCCTTTGTACAACTACTTAAAGATAACAAAAAGGAAATGAGTGAAAATTAACTGAGATGAATTTGTACACATGAGGAAAGTGGGCTCTTGTAAAAATAATGTATGCAGACTAAAAAAGAAGGGAAAATGGTTAGATTGATATTGATATATTTGCAAATGGCAAAATTCATCACCACTATTAGCAAAAGGCTAGGCATAGGAAAAAAAAATCCTTGTCTGTATACACGTATGCAACTAGTAGACTATTTCTAGAATAACTGGTGTGATGTGTGCTTTTAGAATCATACAGCATTGGAAACAGTACATTATGGGAGAAAGCTAGTTGTAGTCATGTGTCTCCAGATTTTATTTTAGTTTTAGGGTGATCAGATTAGGGCCAGGTTTATCATAAAACATTCAATGAACTGTGAGAAATCACATCTTCATTTAGGGCTTGACTTCACTATTCGAAGTAAGCTTTCTTAGGTTGATGGCTCTAACATAGATTAAGCTCAAAAGTGGCCCTAAACCACATTTCCTAGGGAGAGATCGCCACACAAGTTCATGTTTGCTTTGCTTTATTGAGTTCTTCCTTTTCCTAGCAACAAATTGCCCACCAGTTTTCTAGGCTGCTATTGTGTCAACCTAAGATATATTCCTTTTCCAGTAAAGAGCTGGAGAAATACAAGTAAGAATCTATTATTACAGGTTAAATTGTGTCACACCCAACTTGTTGTGAGGGGCCAGTTCTTTTTATTATATTCCAATTTTGTTGTAATAACTATTGCCTAAAATAAATGGGCAATCGACAAGGGCTTAGAGATAATAGAGATGCTTAAAATGGCTTTTATAGTAGCTGTATTTGTTGTCACAGAATTTGACCTGTATTCTGGTTATTAGTTTTATTCATCACACTGAAAACTTGGCACTTCCATTGTTCATGCCATTATATGCAAAGCACTGTAGCATGAAAGTCACTTATAACTTGAAAAAAAACTCTAAGCACAAGAGGTTCATGGAACAATAAAACCTTAGCTTGGGGAGGTTCATATATTGTTTAGCTAAATGTTCTGGATTGTCAAAGATTTATTTCTTTTAATCCCTAGGAGGTTTTGTTTTGCTTTGCTTTTTACCACTTATGAACATTTCTGAAATGCTTATTATCCAAATGGTTGCCTTCTTCTGAGAATAATTTGTATGTGTGGTGGCTGAGTCATTATTTCGGATATAATTACGTTGTCCTATGATACAGCAATGCTATTTTGGAATTAAATGTCCCAATAAAACAGGACTTTTGGAGCTCTTTTGTCCACTAAACTGTTGTGTGTATGTGTGTTTCTGTGGTGGTTCCAGAGTTTGAACTTAGGCTTTGGTGCTGTCACTTAGCTTTTTCATTCAAGACTGGAGCTCTACCACTTGAGCCACAACTCTACTTTTAGCTTTTACCTGGTTAACTGAGATAAGAGCTTCATGTGCTTTCCTTCCTGGATTGAATTCAAATCTCAATTCTCAGATATCAGCCTCTTTTTTTTTTTCTTTGTCCATCATGGGGCTTGAACTCTGGGCCTGGGCACTGTCCCTCAATCTCTTCAGCTCAAGGCAAGCACTCTTACCATCTGAGCTGCAGCACCACTTCCAGTTTTCTGGTCATTTATTGGTGGTAAGAGTCTCACACTTCCTGCCTGGGCTGGCTTTGAACTGTGATCCTCAGATCTTAGCCTCCTGAATAGCTAGGATTACAGGCATGTTGGCCTCTTGAATAGCTGGGATTATAGGCATGAACCACTGGCTCAGCTTCCACTCAATATTTTTGTCATCTTTGTTGCCATGCCTTTTTCTTCCTTGACTACTTTCTCTGGAAGTCTATTTCCCTGTTTTTTTTTTTTTTTTTTCCTGTTGTGGCGCCTGGGAGCTGTCCTTGTCACTCAAGGCTAGCACTCTACCACCTTAGCTACAATGTCACTCCATTTTTCTGATGGTTATTTGGAGTTAAGTCTCATGGACTTTCTGTACAGGGTTTGAACCTCAATTCTCAGATCTCAGCTTCTCAAGTAGTTAGGATTTCAGGCATGAGCCACCAGCAGCCAGTTTCCCTTACTTTTAATATGCTGTAGGTTTGGAAACCAGATAATGAAACATTAAAAAATTGTGTGTAAAGAATATGATAGGTATCTGATTAATTGATGGGCAGCCTGTGTCTTACCTGTTTGCTTTACAGTGTTTATTTCAACTGGTCAGAGGGCTTGATTGCTTCCTACTTTTCAGACATTTTTGAGTGGGCTGAATTTCTGCTTAGCTTTTTCTAGTTCTATCCAACTACTCATTATCAAAACATTTATTTGGATTTTAGGTTTGGGTAAGATAGACATGTGAAGCAGTCAGATGGCTGAACACGAGGTAGATGAGCTGCTACTGAATTCTAAAATGGCTTGAAGGTTGGGAACCATTTGGTATATGGTATCGAATGGTGTTTGGTGGCCATCACAGTTAACCTGACAAGGGACTTTAAAGTAGCTTTATTTGCCATCCCTTTTTAGGAATAAGAAGCTATCACCAATGTCCAGTTGTGGGAGCTACCTTGAAGATGTTTAATTAAATTGGTCTCAAGTGTCAAAGCTGGCTAACTTGAAATTCTAAGACCATAGCAAAAGAAGCCACATTATTTATGGCTTTGGAATAAAGATGGTAAAGCAAGTCAAATAGTTCTCTCCTGTAAGTACAGTTCCAGGCTAGATGAGGATTTCATTGCTATCTTTAGCTTTCCTTCCTTCACTGTATACTGTACTCATCTGTTCCAAGGACATACTGCTTGGGGAGTAAAGTTGGGGAGAGATGCCAGTTCAGTACAAGGTAGTATCGGCATGGCTAGGAGAGATAAACAGAAATTGTAGACTTAGGTTTAAATCCTAGTTTCCGCTTATTAAAGTACCTTGGTCATAGCACTTAATTGTCTGAATATGATTCCCAAGCAGTAAATTGAGGGATGATGGTATTAGTGCTATGAGAATTAAATAAGATGTGAAAAGCATCCAGGAGAGTGCCTAGCCCAGACAGAGCTCACTAAATGGTAGCTATTATTGTTAAGAAAAATGAATGTGTTAAAAACTGCAAATTGCAATATTTAATAAGCAGTGAAAGTCAGTGCTGCCTGTTAATAACTTGTTTCTGTTTTCTTTGCTGTGACGTCTTCCTCTCTTCTTGAGAGCTGGTAGCCTGCTTTTCTGTGGGGTGTACCTTCCTCTGGTGCACTGTGAAGGCTGGGAGATATTCCAGACAAGCTGCAATTTTATCTTTTTATGAGTAAAGGAAATGAGACCATGTGTTAAGTTGGATCAAGAAAAAGATCAATAAAAAAAAAAAGAGCTGTAGCTTTCTGAGGAAAAGGTAATAAAATGAGAAGGACTGGGGCTGAAGGATGCAGTTTTGAGGCACTGACACCAGGAAGTAAAGGCAGAAGCCTTCAAACCCACTGTGGTTTGCTGAAACACTGAAGACTCCCAAGAGCTACAATGCCTTGTCCGTGGTGGAAGTAATGTCCTCAGCAAAAGAAGAGGAAGAAGTGGGGCCTAATGATCGCTATAGAAGGCAGTCTGCTTTCTGGGCTGGCCTGACTTTTTCCACTCATCTTGGAAAAATTCCTCAAAGTCCTTAAAGTCTCCAGCTGCAAAGGTTCAATGAAGATAAAATTTGATAGAAAGAAATTTAGAGCAGGCTTCACAAATAACATCTCTTCCAGACCCTCCTGGTAGCCTTGGGGATTCTAAACATTCAGTCTGATGCTTCTAGGCAGGGCTTGCACTTTCTAGTTCACACAGTCTGATCATCTTCACATTTGGCTCCTGAAGGTCTGTGGGAAAATGGCTCCTGGTTCCATGAAACCTGGCCCTAATACTCGAAACCTAGTTACTTACAATTTAGTTCCATTCTTCATCAATTATATGAAAATATGTACTTCTAAAGTTCCACAAAGATGATTTTTGTGACTTAACTGTACTAAACAGACTTGTTTTCCCCTGAAAAAGTAAGGTGAAGATTAGAAATTGATTTTTCTCCTAAAGTTACAAAGTTTCAACTGTTATTTTAAACATCACGCTGGACCAGATAGTCTTCACATTATAATCTACTCCACTCACAAATGTAATCTAGGCAAGACTAGTTCTATATGGAAGAGAAAACATGTGTATATATAATAGTGGACTTTAATCTGCCTTCTGCCAGAGATTTCCTAAAGCACTCTGGAGAAGTCCGGAGTAAATTAGGTTCCTATACCTAATAATCCAAACAATCTCATCTCCAGCATTACCACAGCTAAGTATGCAGGTCATCATGAATATTTACACCTAGAGGGTCCTTGGTGCACAACTCAGAGAGACAAATGGTATTTCCAGTAATAGTTTATTGATTTCCAAATATACAGGGGAGCCAAGTCCGAACATCCTGGGATATGCAGTAAATCTCTTACAAAATAATTTACAGTATGAAAATGATAACCTGAAACATTAACTCAAACGTGTAATTCCCTTGAAAGATTGAGTGTTCCCTAGTCTGGTATAAAGAGAGGAAGGGGAAATGACTAAGGAGGGAATGTGACGATGCAGAAGACAATGGATGGGTTGGTTCTATCCACTCATGCAGTGTGCTCTGTCACTGTAAGAAGACTGGTCAAGTTTAACTCCCATCAAGTATAAATCTGCTGTCCCCTCGAGGTCCTACCAAGCCCAGCCTGGGCTCACTGGTGCTTTTAGCACCAGTGTATACACAAATGTCTTTGTTTATCTTCACTTTCCTGCTCTTTCTGATATGCTCTGTTTCTGTCTTAGCAGGCAGGTGCCCAGTATTCTAAATGATCTTTTTTTTTTTTTAACCACAAACTGCCCAGGTCTGTGGCTTTTGGAATGGACTAGGGTTGGGAGCTTCAGAAAAGGCAGATCAATGAGATGTAGACTTTTCCCTATGGGCTTTTTCTCACAGGGAAGGGCTGGACTTTATATGTAATGAGATTTTTGTTTTTAAACAGAAAAATCTGAATGTGTTCAGCACACGGAAAACACAGAACATATTTTCTTACAGAAAAGCACACATTGAAGAGCTATTATGTGAGGGTAAAATGTCAGGAATCAGCAGGAGAGTATTTTCTAGGTGGGGGAGGACTTGCTGCTATTACTACAGATTGTGAATTCTAGAGGTGTACCCTCGAGCTCACTTGGAGGGCCCGAAATGTCATAAAAATGGCTGGGCACCCAAATTTTCCATGTGACTTGCCATCTGAGAAGAGGGCCAGAGTGCAATTTCCTTCATGGCTGTCACCTTGCTTGTTGCTTCAGGAGCCGATAACCACTGAGTTACTCTTCTTTTAAGTAAACACCTAGCCTCTAGTTATTTAGTGGCAATCAGATTGGAAGAAGCCTCTGCAAAGGATGGTATGCAAGGCAAGGAGGGGCTGCTTTGTTGGTGAGTGTGTACATGTGTGCATATATGCATATTGCTACACATCACCTCTGTCATTTCACATATAGGTGTACGTACAGACATATTAGTAGGGGAGTCTAGGTTCACAAGACTCTGAATTGGCACACCCTCACAGAACATAGATCTTGTGGCTAGGTTTACTAAAACATGAAATTTCCGTTTCCACAAAAATGAAACAGCAGAAAAGTTTAAAATAATAGAGCAGAACACCTTTATTTATACTGAAATTTCTGAAAAGTTCTACACTATGAAGGCCAAGAAGAAGCTAATTCATGGAAGTTGGCACTAAGGACAAAGGTTCCCCAACTTGGGCAGGCAGGCTCCAGATCTATTTTAAGCATTTGCTAAAGCTGAGGACCAAGGCAATCTTGGATGTATTCTGGAGCCCAAACTATAGCCACAAAATGTCCTCTTGAAAACGAATTGATAGTGGGGGAAATGTGAGCCTTTCTTGTTCTCCATATTTTAATTGGACTCTGTCATGGGACAAAGGACTATCCACACTGGCTCCAGTCTTTCCTAGCTGGGCAACTCAAGACAGGTAATTTCCTTTCTGCATTGTTTTATCACCTAAGAAATGGAGGGTAATACAGGGCCTGGGCTCACATGCAATCCTCAATACAGGTCATTGTCTTCCTGGGATGTCAGAGCTAAGACTTCAAGTACTTTTTAGGATTGCTCCAAATTTAGTGATATTATATCAAAGGACAAGTCTCTCTGAGAATGGAGAAACCCACATTGGGAAGTGAACCAGGTATTCCTCTAAGTACCCGATTCATTCTGGGGACATTCATTACCTGTAATTCTTAATGACTTTCCCCTAGTGATTTCTGCAAACCCTGCTGCCTATGACCAGTGAGCATACAACTCTAAGTACTCTAACTCACTGACCTGGCTGGAGGGAAGCCTCATTGTGTTGGGGCTTAAGGCCAAGCAGCATGCTCAAGTTCTGGTGGGAAGCTAGTCCCACTGCAGGAAGCTTCCTAGTTCTTACACTGACAAATGCTGCCAGCAGGAACTTTGGAGCCTGGGCAGAAGCTGCTGTGTGGTGTTTAATGCTTCCCTGGTTAAAGTTTTATCAGGTGCTGAAGACAGCAGGAGCCCACAAGGCAAATCTGAAACCCTTTCTAGCTAAAGCAAAAGTGCTTTCCTTGAGGATTACAGACATCAGATAATTTATTGAGACAGGTTGGCACATATTTTTATATTTTTGTTTATATCTACCACATAAATGCTCGGATTTTCTAAACACTGACTTAAAGTAATAACAGATGATCAAGTATGGAGAGTCAATGATCTGCTCATTGTTAATACAAAGTTACCATTTGGAGATTAAACAATGATTATGGGGGAAAGACAACATGAACTTCCAAATACTAAAGTCTTTTCATTCTTCTGATAGCCTAAACTCTCAAGAGTGGCTGTTGGTCCTTCTTTTAGGGTAGGATATAGTTGGAGGTTTTTAACTTGTGTCTCCAGCTTTTGTGGACAGATAGATAAAGCACCAAAACTATCTCAGCCTTTGTTGGACACCAGATAAAAATAAAATCATTTTTCTTTTCAGCAACTCAAGCTCCTCTCTGTTACAATATCTCTATATGTGTAGTGAGCTAGGTAATACTAACCTAGAATAACCTAGAAGCATATGCTTTCCAGATCAACGGAATGTCATTCCATAGCATGCACAGATGTGAACAATGATCTAAGCAGCACTCCTACATAAAGCATGTGTTGTTTCTGCCTCAGACCTGTCCTGCATGCACACATACCAGCTGGCCCTAAAGCTTTGTGATAAGTGCACAAGTCAAAGGCAGGCAAGCGGCGGGCACACAGGAAGAGAGAGGTATTCCCCTCAAAGCAAGCTACTGGGTTCTGCTTCAGAGGCACTAGAAGTCTAGACCCTTGGTTACCAGCAACTCCAAGGCTGCCTGGATGTAGTTTCTGTATTCCTCAGAAGCGAGGGAACACATCACATACTTTCAAGCAAAAGCTGCTTTCCAAATTTTTCATTTTATCTTAATAGTATATATGTATGAATATTCTAGTCCATAACATAGCTGTTTTATATAAAAATAAGGTTATCACCTGACTTCAAACCACTTGTCAGGAGAAACTGATGTTGACAGGAAGATGTGTGTTGTGAACTTAGCTCTGTATTCTCCTGTCACATCTGCTGCTTCCTTCAGGGCTAAAAGGCTTAGTCGTAAGGAATTGTGATTTGGGAGTGGGGCAATGCCAGGAAATCCAGCTCTAGAGTGTCTCCCTTCCTGTTACTTAAAGATGGGAGAGCTAGGGTATGAGAGATGATCTGAAGGTCTGTGGGTGGGTAGTGCCAAGTAAAGATTCCAGTCATCATAAAATGAGAGACTCTGCTGGGAGCTGGTACTGAACTGAGCAAGTTTGCCACAGAGTGGTGAGACATCCATTATACTGCATGTAAGCCATATTAAGCTAACCTGGGGGTGGAATTGGCAAAACCTACATCTGGCAATAAATATATACATTCCAGCCTTTTGTGATATGACAAGCCCATAAAACCTACAGAATTCACCCAAATAACTTGTCTTAAATGAATATTTTTGAAACTCAAGCAATTTGAAGTCAGAAGTATTCTGATTTCAACTTTTAATCAGCTTTCTTTGGTCCTCTTCTCCTGTCCCCACCTCTTCAAGGTCATTTCCTTTCTAGCTCTTCATTTTTTTTTTTCATTTCCACATCACTGAATTATGAATCTAAAGTCCTGGATAACCTCACATACTAAAAATATCTGTATCTTTCTAGCTTTTAACTCTTTCTCCAACCCCATTTTCAAGTCACTCAGCCTAATTCATAGCATGACCTTGGAGAACTGGACTATGAAAGACTGTCAACATGAGTCATTTGCCCTCATTTGTTTCATGCTTCGATATAAACAAAATAGGATTTTTGTTTGCAGGTAGGCAAAAAAACCTCCTCTTTCTTTCAAGATTATTCCAGATCCTTCCTAATGAAGTGATACTGTTGACTTACACAGTATTACTGGGGCTGGCTTTCCTGAGTAAGTGCAAAGCAGCCACTGAGAGGTTCCTTGAAGAACCCTTCTTAATTGCTCCAGGTTGATCAAAGGGACTCTTTCCTTGACCTACCATAACAAGAGTATGAGCAGCACACAGTCAATAAACATAAACTTGCTGTTCCTTGGAGAGATGTGTGCCTGCTGTGGATCTGGGAACATATCCGGTAAAAAGACGTTTGTTGCTGGGCAGCTTTCACAGACATCAGAAGCTGTTACATACATGCTGTCACACACACACAGGGGAGGGATGATTTTCCACAGGGAGCAATGAGTCTTCATGTGTCCTCTTCTTCACTGGCACCACTACAAAGGAAAAGGAAAACCAGATGAGTTAAGATGTCAGGAAAGGAGGCAGTACAATCCTAGGGTTGATGGTACCGGACACATCTGGATTCAGATTCTAACCACTGAGAGTGAGTGGTATGGCCATAGACAAGTGACTTAATTTCTCTGGGTTCTAAATGTACATCTGACTACAGTAAGAAGGGTGATAATAAACTTAGCTTTCTTAGGTTATTAAATTACTAAATAAAAAACACTGGTAAAATGCATGGGGCCTGGTAGATAGCAAGTAAGTATTTAAAAGAGCAGGGAATATTTTTTTTAATACTGTAAAAGAAACTGCTAGTGAAAGTCAAATTTGATTTCCACTAAGCCTTAAGCCTCCCTCATTAGGAGAGAAAAATAATGAGACACTATTAATGGCACTTCACATGTGGAATAAAAGCCAAGGTTTCAACTCCTGCCATGGGTCAGTGCCTTGGATTTAGATGTTTTATTTTCAGAGAAGGTTCTCTACTTGAGCAGCATTCCCTGGTTATTCTCTTCCTCTTTCTTATTTCCTTCATAGCTCTTATCACAGTCTGTGGTTTGGTGGTTATTTACTCTTCCTCCGTCTTTTTGTTGCTACAAGAGTAGCAACACTACTATCTATGTAATAATAGTGCCATGTGGTAGCCGTAAGAAGCAGAAAGGGAGGCAGGGATAGAGCTAGAATGGTCACTCAATACTGCCCTAATCAGAGTCCTGCGGATGTCATTGATCAAAACTGAGTTGTAGATTCCCAGTGGCGTGACTATTACCTCAGCTAGGCAGTTAGACCATGTCTGGTGCCAGGGAAAAGATTGTCCATGCAGTGGGACATGCTCAAGGGGATAGCAGCGTCATCTCTACGTGAATCTATGCACATTTAGAGGAGGCAAAAGTAGCACATTTCCTTAGATTCTTCTCATCCACTTCCAAAGGTCACTGTCTTTAAAAATGGTAACAAAGGCCAATTTGAACTAATCCTTGCTGTGGAGCAGAGGAAAAAAATCTACTGTTCTTTACCTATTCTTTCATTACTCTTCACATCCTAGGACATAAGAATTATTATAATCCTCATTTCCCAGATGAAGGGTGAAGCTCTAAAAGATGTAAAATTCAAGAGTTCTTAAAACTGAAGGCTTGGTTTTGATTGGAACAGTGGTCAAGCTGGTGAAGAAAGAAAAGGACTGCAGTTCATGAGTTCCCTGCCATCACTTGAAATCTCCTCCTCTTACAAGGATTTCTGTGTGTCTGGAATAAGATCTGTCCTCTGCTGCATCCATCTGGGAAAATATCTTAGGCAAGAGACTTCTAGCACTTCCATTGAGGGTAAAAACAACAACAACAACAGCAACACTTAAGACAAGGTAAGTGAGCTGACTCTAGAAGCCGGAAGAAAGAATTCAATAGCCTTTACCATGGGAAACTCTGGCCTGTTTCCACCCCATTTCCTGCTGCTTGTCCAATCATGGGATATAGATGCATGTAGGAAGTGCTGGCTCAGGGAACTGTCCTTATAGCTGTATTTGGTGGCACTCACCCCAAAGGGAACAGAGGGTCTTTTATGAAAGTTTCTCTACAGAATCAAGGCAGAGCTGGAACCAGCGCCATGCCCTCCCCTTTGGCATTCTGTCCAGAGCAGGCCTGCATTGTTCCTTTGTCAATTTCCCTTCTCATACGGGAGAGAGCTGCATGGTGACTGTGCCCTTTCCCTAAGCTCAGATCACTTTTTAGTTCTTGAGATACAGTTTAAAAGGTTCATGAACCTACTGAAACCGTGTAATTTTGTTTGTGTGGCTCTTTGTCTGAGAAAGGCCACCATTTACATCATCTCAAAGAGATCAACAATCTCTACTCCAAAACAGTCACGAATTATCAAATTAATGAACAAATTCTTTTCCAGTTGTCAGGTTCTTTAGTATAAGATATAGAACGCAGCTTAGAGAAGTGGTTAGATGTCTTAACTGATAACATCTGTTCTCATTACCCTTAAGGAGACCTATTCCTGGGCCTGAAAGATAAACTTTATCTCACAGTTTAAAACGTGATTTTGAAACTATGATATATCATTTATTGATTGCTTCAATCAATTAAATATTTATTGATTGACTATTCTGTGTTAGGCACAAAAGCAGCTGTCCTCGTGGACATGTAACAGGCCCAGGAGACAGGGCAAGGCAGGTGAGAATGGAGTGTGTGTGTGGTGGAAGGGGGGGGGGGGACTGGGAGTGGGAAGTGGAGGATAAAGAAAGCAAAAGGATTTTGTGTGTGTGTGTGTGTGTGTGTGTGTGTCTGTTGTGGGGCTTGAACGCTGGGCCTGCGTGCTGTCCCTGAGCTCTTCAGCTCAAGGTGAGTGCTCTACCACTTGAGCCACAGCACCATTTCCAGTTTTCTGGTGGTTAACTGGAGATGAGTCTTATGGATGTTCCTGTCCGGGGTTGGCTTTGAACCACAATCCTCAGATCTTAGCCCCCTGAGTAGATAGGATTATAGACATGAGCTACCAGCACCTGGCTGAAAAAGGATATTTTATCAGACTACAATCTTCAAAGATAATATCATATTTTTATAATAATCTATTTTTCACAATAATGAGGAAAAATGATTTTAACCAAGACTTTAACAGAGCTTACCTCACCTTGTGTGAGGACACTCTGGAGGGAGAGGCATTATCACCTCTGCTGGACTCTCCTTCTTGTCTGGTACATGAGCTAGTCCGTGTTCACAAGATTTTTATCTATAATATCATATAAAAAAATCTTCACTTGCTCCAAGTGAAGTAAGCACAGCCTTCCTCCTCCGGTATTCCTCCTCCTCTGAAACATCCAACAGCCTGTGTAAACTTACAAGTAGAGATCTGGAGGTTATTGAGATTCTTTGTAGCATACGTTAAATGTATTTTCTTCTAATGAACTAGAGTGACAGGCCAATAGTGTATTCTATAGAATGGGCAGCATGATGGAATGATTCTGGGGTCATCAGATTGAGTAGATTCAAATTCTTGAGTATATTCCTAAATGTATTTAAATCTCAGTTTCTTCATGGCAATACTTTCTTACAGTGTTATTATAAAAGCTTTATGTAGTTTATGAAATACACATAAGGAATGTGAGCCTCCTCCTTATCCTGAATCAAAATCTACCTCCACTAACTTTCCCTCAACGCCCAATGTTCTAATCTGAAACATTACATTCCAGAATATGTATGTACCTATTCCCAATTCCCTTCAATTGCTTGAATACAATAGTATACTATTTTGCTTGGTGTGAGATAGTTTTTGTTTTTGTTTTTTGTCATAGAGCTTTAACTCAGAGCCTGGGTGCTGTCCCAGAGCTCTTTTGCTCAATGGTAGCACTCTCCTACTTTGAGCCACAGTACTACTTCAGGTTTTGAGTGGTTAATTGGAGATAAGAGTCTCATGAGTATTTTTTTGCCTGGGCTGGCTTTGAACTGCGATCCTCAGATCTCAGCCTCCTGAGTAGGCATGAGCCATTAGCGCCTGGCTGGCAGATTTTTTTTTTTAAGTGACAATTCAGTCTAATGAAATTCAAGTATTGGATAGAAAGGCTAGGAGTTCCATAGCTCTGACCCTTCTTTTTTTTGGTCGGTCGTGGGGCTTGAACTCTGGGCTTGGGCGCTCCAGCTCAAGCTAGTGCTCTACTGCTTAAGCCACAGTGCCACTTCTGGTTTTCTAGTGGTTTATTGGAGATAAAAGTCTCATGGACTTTCCTGCCTGGGCTGGCTTTGAATCTCGATCCTCAGATCTCAGCCTCCTGAGTAGCTAGGATTACAGGCATGAGCCACCGGCCCCCGGCTGACTCTGACCCTTCTATGTGCAGTTTTCTAGAAAGTCCATCCCCTGGCAAGGACAGACAAGAGCGCAGTTGTTACTTGGCCTCTGCTAGGTCACTGACTAATCTAGTTTGTGGCTATGTTCTATCTACAAGTGGTGGTCTTAAAACTGCAGCACACATTTCCTGTGCATATAATGACTTCCTAGAAAGTGCTTGGATTTAAGACTAAGAAAAACATACCGATCCTTCTGTATATACTAATTCTTTTCCAAAAACATGTCTGTGTTCTATAGGTTCTCTTTTTGCTACTCCCACTTTCACAATCACCTCACTACCACTTTAGAACAGAAATAAGCTGGGCTCTGGTAGCTCACACTTATAATCCAGAAGGCTGAGATCTGAGGATCACAGTTCAAAGGCAGCCTGGGTAGGAAAATCCGTGAAACTCTTACCTCCATTAACCACCAGAAAATCGGAAGTGGCACAGTGGTTCAAGTTGTAGAGCGCTTGCCTTGAGCTGAAGAGCTCAGGGACAGCACCCAGGCTGAGTTCAAGCCCCAGGACCAAATTAAAAAAAAAAGAAAGAAAAAGAATTAAATACTTCTCGCTCTCCTGAATCTTACATGCAACAATTTTAGACTGTCTCACTTCTAAAACGAATCTTATGAGAGAGCAGGGTGAGAAACATTCCTCATTTCATTCAGGCAACAAACACTCTTGGCAAGACTGTGTGCTTTATCAATCTGTCAACTGATCTAAGATTTTAATTCAGAAGGAAAAAGCTGTCTTGAGGTATGTCCTAATATGCTTACTGAATTGAAGAAAATGAAATCAGGCTTGATCTGACAGGGTGGATAGGTCTGACCAAAAGAACTAGCTTTGCCAATTAGATTATTATATACAATGAATTTTTGCCTGTAAATTTAATACGCTAAGTCTGAAGTGCCAAATCTCATACAAACTACACAATTTGTTAGCAATGACATCTTCTGTAACTATCTAAACTTAATATATAACTTCAGGAGTAAAAAATGGACAAAGATACATCCTATTTTCTAAATTCTTTTCAGGAACATAAAACCAAAATATTTATCTAAAGGATCTGGAAACTCCTACCTTCTGACTAGTCTGGTGTTGTAAGATTTAACCTCCCTGGTTGGGGCTGTAACATGGGACTAAGGAGTCAGTAGACTTGCTGAGGAA